TTTGTGCTGTACCAGTGTAGCCATAGATTGCACCTGCATCTCATGAATAACGCTCGAGTCCTTATTTGATTAACCAATTTTTCCACCTCCCGTATGAAATTATCGCCCCACCAAAAATCTTCTTCGGTGCATCAGCTTCCAAAGCCAGGGAGGGGCTAATGAACGTAATGTCTTTTGTTTTTGTTTGACCTCTTTTTCCTCGCTCCGATACTTTCGATCAGTTTGACCTTCGGAGTGGCTGCTCGCCCTCGCGTTTTTCTTCCCTGCTCTCTTTAGCCATGGAACAAAGAATACGGGAACACGCCGAGGTGCCCTTTTTTTTTCTACCTCGGTCCAGTGTGTGGAAAGAAGAAAAGCAAGTGCCCCGAGGAAATTTAGGCCACGCGTGGCTGTACTGCCCTTTCAAGTACCCATGAGCAAAAAGTTGGAGAAACTGTGCAAGAAAACGCCGCCACTGGACGTATAATGCGCGTAGGAGAGTTTAAGAAAACATGATTCGCACGCGCATCGATAAAACACGCGAGGGAGGACGTGGCCCTTTTTTTTCGTCCCTCGTAGGCCCAACATCGGCTGTATCTCACGAAAAATTTACGACGCGTTTGTTGGAGCACATCAAGATCCTTCAGCCCTTACGTATCATCTCCTTGTGCTCCACCCGATGAGAAATAGGATTACTACGCGCAAGTTTTTACCGAGGACTGTACCAATCTAAATGAATAATCATCCTATTTTTCTTGTTTCGCTCGTCTGGGGATGTGTGTATCTCCGTCTCTGTGAATAAAACGTACGTGTCTTTGGTATGTGAAAAATTAGGATAAAGAGAAATTTTCGGGGAGGTTTTATCCATGGCAAGCCTGACTCAATTATTCCTATCGAGAGAAGGTAAGTGTTTATACGTAGGTGCAACGTTATTTTTGCGCGATCGGAGTCAGACGGGGCAAAAAGCGCTTCGAGATAAAAAAAAAAAAAACTAGAAAACACCACCGAAATAAAAAAAGGGGGGGATACGTAAGCTGCGTCAAAGACGAGAACATTTGGAGTGAGAGAGAGAGAGAGAGAGGTATTCGACACGCGTCGCCGGGGAGAGAAAATTCAGCTGTCATGTGTAGCCGAAGAGGGATTTTCATCGTCTCGCAGGGCTCGATGATAAGGAGAGCAAGGTGGCTTGCTTGTTACCTCAGCCGCGATCTACCCTTACATGTGCGCTGGGTCGCAGCGTGAGCTGAATAAACTGGGCAATTTATCCGAGGCAACGAGTGGGATTCGACTCGCTCTTTCTCTCAATTTTCCAACCCCCCCCCCCTTCAATGGGCTCTTATAAGCCGAGGTGTTATGAAAAGTAAAATTAAAAAATTAAAAAAAATTACCCAAATTTCGAGTGGTGGCGTGGTCTTGTGGATTTCTTTTTTCTCCCTGATTCACCAGGACTTGTTTACACCAAAGTCGCGTCTCGTGAAAAATCTCAATTTCAGCAAAGTCACGATAGTTGAGCCGTACTCTAGCCTCGTTTGCCCGCCGGAGCTTTCAAAAGGCATGCATGACAATTAATTTCGTCCGAGTCGGCAAAACCAACATCGACTAAAGTCTCCCTAGCTGGAATCCATTGTTTCCGGCTAAAGAGGCGAGCCGTGCCGAGGGTTCGAGTGGACCGGGGCGAGAGTAGGCCAGTGCGGCGTACAGTGGCCGATGGCACGCGTGGCTGAATCTCGAGGCTCTCTTCGGAATAGTTACAATTTTTTTTTCTCTTCCCCTTCCAAACGTTTCTGGTCTGAAGGAGCCCCAACGAAAATAAGAGCGAAGAGAACCCGAACGTGCTCCAGTCCTCGGCTTGTCCGAGATACCGCCAAACCTCTTCCCGGCCCTTTCATTTGCTAATGGGGCATTCGTCTTTTTTTTCCCCTCCCCGTTCTTACACTCGTGCGAGTTCCACTTGGCTCTATTTTCGTGATAGCTTTTTTCTTCCATCCACCCCTTTTTTCTAGTGCGACTCTTGTGGGCAAATTCACTAATTCTATTTGGGTCGAAGGATTTTCCAGTTGGATTGTACGTTAAAATTGGTTGCTTACCTGGACACTGAAAAAAAAAAGTTGACTGAGGGAAAATTGTGTAAGGAGTGGACGAGTAAATACACAATACTCTATTTTCATGGTGTATCTTCTTGATATTTGTTATTCTTTGAAACTCAACGATATATTATATATTACAATTTTTTGTTTTCACGCCCAGTCACTCGTTGTACACTTGCGCCATGCAGTAGCAAACACCATACGTGAGTTGGACGTCGTAAAATACTTAAATACAATATTTATAAGATTCAACGAAATGTCGTAATATTAAAATTCACGTCAATGCGGTACTGTTCGCGTACCTATAATAATTCAGTAACTCTTTCATTTAAAATTGTCCTCTAAAACAGCTCTTTCGTCTCGAGACTGATGAACACTTACTTTTGTTTTTTTGTCTCACTCCGCTTCGTGCGATTATTTTTTCACAAAACTGCTCTCCCTGGCTCGTCTGTTTAAAGCTTTTATAAATATTTATTCACTTGTACGTGTACTCATACATCATTGTATTACATAATTTACATAATAATAGCGTCGCTACATGTTTGATCATCACTTGATTCGCTACAACAATGCAATATTATCAACTAACTATTCCAACGATGCTTATCACTTCAACAATTTTTCCCTTTTTTTTTTTTTTTTTTTTTTGGTAAAAATAACGCTTGTCAATGTGTCTCACGTATTTATTATTTACAAGGAAATCACGACCCTGGCGTTGATGCTGCTACACATATTTTACGAATCTCTTATTTATATGCTTATACGCGTTAATCATTATTATTATGATTACTATTATTGTTATTATTATTATTATTATTATTATTATTATTATTATTATTATTATATAAAAAGCAACCCGTGACATTAACGGCTGATGTCTCATTAAAAGCGCTAATAAAATTACGCTCGATTACGTATGACATAATAATATATAGTACCAATCGGTGAATAATACAGTACCACGTCTGGCGTATGCATATAGTTACATTATTAATATTATTTTTTTTTTTTTTTTAATACTTTGCTCATTACGATAACAGTGGCATCGGGCGTGTTATATATATTTACACATTATTTTCTGCTAAACACTTTTTTGGCTATTTTTTTGGTAATAATTTACGATTATTTAATAATACGTCGTCTGAATATCAGCAACGAAAAAGTTTGTTATTCTGACCACGCAGTCGTTTCGTTATTACTATTATTCAACAGTCATTTAATTCGAAACTAGTGATATCTATACAAATAGTCCCTGAAAGTAATATTTACCTCTTTTTGCGTAGTTGTCGCGTAGCAGGTTTTGATAAAACTACGAGCTGTTCTTTGATATAAATTTTTTTTTTCCCTCACACTCGACATCTTTGTCCCGCCCTCTCGACGTCTCGATCGATCGCTAAAGCTTCGAAGCTCCTATATACCATCGCAGTGTTGTTGAACTGCTGTTTCATTTTCATTCTGGCACTTTACTTTGGAGTTAGTTTCGAAAAAACAAGCTATCTAAATAACTAATTATAACCGCTTATTTATATATTTTTTTATCACACCCAAAGCATGACTTTCTTTTTCATCCAGATTTTTTTTCCATCACCAACTGCTCATCGAATATGTTTTCATTGATAATATTAATTACAGCTGGCCGTCGAGCGTTAAAAAAGATAAGAAAATAAAAATAAAACACCAGCTTACGTTAATTTACGGCGTAAGAGCCAGTCAAAAATATGTTCTGGCTTCATTTTTAAAATAACAAAAAGTAAAAATCTACTTTTTAGGGTTGATACATACGTTACGAGATTGAAACTATGTACTACAACAGCATACGGTTGGGTAAAAACTTTTAATTAATAATTTCAAATTCATCACGGCTGTAATAATTAGTCACGAACTTCTGCCCCACCGTTCACGTGTTAATTCGGATAAAACGTGCGACGATTTTCAACGGAGATGCTGCAATGATGGCTCCAACAATTAATTACTTCAAGTTGAACTGTTGCTACGGTAATTTTTTTTATTTTACAAAATAGTTTTTTTTTTTTTCCTCATTTCCTCAAAAGCGCGAAGCAGACCTCAAAATTCTTTGAGTGACCGTCTTGTAGGTCTATCATGCCAAGGGTCATCGATCGGAACTTGGTGTAATTTTTATTTACAATCGCAACTTTCACAAAGAGGCAGTGCCGTGTAATACCTACGTCGCGAGTTTGAGTTACAAATTTAAGTCGGCGTCAATCACACGTAGCCGATGCGATTAGGTATAGTAGAGTCTACTAATTGAAAATTTACTGCAAGTAGGTACATTACAAGAAGATGCACGCGTAACTCAATATTGGCGATGAATGTTATACTATCTTGTTTTTCATACCGTAAAAATCGCATCGGTCTCTTTTATGAGAATTTCCTTTCAATGACATCGTGCGTCACCTCGGCTATCGATCGCCGTGTTTTTTTCTTCTCTTTCCCGCTGTATTTATTATCCGTCGCGTTAATATCCCCCGCGACTGCGCTTCATCTCCGATGAGTGAAAAAAAGAGGGGGGGGGGGGGCAAAAAAATTAAAGTGCAATGTAGACTCTACTTGAGCCCTATAGAAAAGTTTGTAGGGCACACTCGATGATGAGTAAAAATGAAAATCTGAACAAAAAAAAAAAAAAAAAAATCAGGCCTCGGGATGATTTTTTATTTCTCACAAAAGAAAAAAAAAACACTATACGTATACTTAATGGCCAATCCCATGTCATTACACAGGAGCAAACTTACAAATTGAAAAAACAAAAAGTCCGAACAAGCGACAACTGTATGCGTATACAAGTAAAAGTGCATCCAAGCTGTAGAGCGCTCTACTCACCCGATCGATCAAAACGTCGAGAGGACTTCAGTATACCTGGACAAGAATATCAAGTGTTGGATGAAAAAAAAAAAAAAAAAAATAGTCCGCCTACCCTTGCACCACGGGGTAAGAAGGTGCACCAGTTTCTCACACTCAAACGCACCCGCGGGAGTGGCGCCGATTGAGCAGCATCCCCCGTTTGGCTCGTACACCCACCCGCGGCTCTTCGGTCCCGCAGTCGAGAGACTCACGGGAGATCAGCGCGCCGGCCGAGGAGGCGCGAGCCCGAGTATCCTCTTGAAGGCCTGGCGAAACTCGGGCGAGAAGACGGTGTAGATGACGGGGTTGAGGGTGCTGTTGAAGTAGCCCAGCCAGAGGAAGATACTGGCGACAAAGTCCGGGGGTGGCTGGCAGGGCTCGCAGAGGGCTTGTACGAGGGCGACGAGGAAGAAGGGCAGCCAACACGCGACGAAGGCCCCGGTTATTATGGCCAGGGTCTTGGCGGCCTTGCGCTCGCGCTTCGCCTCCATCGTCTCTCGGCCGCGGCGCGTCGATACCGCCGTCTTGGCTGGCGCGGCTGTCGTCGTTGTCACAGCTGCCGAGGTCGCGCCGCTCAGTGCGGTCACCAGGCCCACCGACGGTGGCTGGGCCCCGTTGTGCGAGGACGTCTTTTCCGGGGAGACGGACGAGGGCTCGGGCGTCGAACGGGTTATGGTGAAGGCGGTCGACTCCTCCCTCGGGCTGCGCGCCAGAACAACGGGATAACGTTACCTCGGATTTTTCCGACCGCATCATCAGGAGTTTACCCGAGTTTAATAATAAAACAAAGTTTACCTAATACATATTTTGGAAATCGTCAATCATTGTTCGATTCATACGAATGTCAATTCGGTAATCCTCTGGTGGTCGATGATTAATTTCATTTTTCTTTTCGAGTTTTTTATGGCAAATTAATCAACTATTGGGAAAATACGTTTTCCGATTCATTTCTCAATCTTGTCCTCGTACTTATTGAATCGAGAATGTTCAGTGCGCTGCTCTGGATTCAATTAGTTAATAATCTCGAGAACGCGGTAGTAATAAATTTAATGCAAATCAATGCTTCTTTTGGGGTTTAATAATTACACGATATTCCGTAAAGATATTTCCGTTGCATAAATGTCCCCTCGAGTCTGTTGCCTAATCGTATCAGTGTAAAACCAGGGCAAGCGATGTTCCAGCGACTATTCACGGATGGAAACAGTATAAAATTAGTTTTTGAAGTTACAAGTGTCGCGGGCGCTTTGTTAGCGATTAATCGACACAAAAAGCACACTCGCGAACAATGAATGATAATAGATTCCACAACCGGCATAATAGAGTTCCTCCACCAAATGGAATTGCAAAATCGACTGATCAAACGATTCTATGCAGGAACGAGCCGCTCGCGAATTTCGATGCGCGTCTGACCCAATATGGAGCTGTACTACTGAGACAGGCTAGACACGCGCGCTCGGACGATAATGACGTGGGGTGGGATTTTAAAAAGGACTTACAACCTTCTCTGGACGAGCTTCAGGAGTCCCTTGCGCTCCCGGGGCGGCTGGATCGTCGTGCCGGGCCGCTTGCGGATCCGTCTCCTCGCGGCCTGGAATATCCTCCAGTAGAGGAAAAGGATGACCAGCAGTGGCAAGTAGAACGTCGCGCACGTCGCGAATATCTGTGGATTGGACAAGTGTTTTCTGTTAACTTTGTTATGCCTTACCAGCTGTTTTGATTGCTCCATCTCGTCTGATTGTGAAGCGCTTTGTCGGAAAATCGTAAACGCAACCGTGGATTACAAAAGCGTATGTTAATACAACGGAGGAAAAAAAATGATTCGCCTCTCAGTCGAACTATCGTTTGGTTTTTCGATTTATTAACGATTTGTTCGGTATACTTGATGGTAATAAAGAAGCCAGAGACTAAACAATGTACTTTTTGCCGCGCGATACTTTATCCTCAAAGTGCAGAATTTTATTTCGTTTTTCCACGTTTGAAATCGGACAAAGCCAGAGAAAAATAAATCATTGCGAACAAAAATGTACAAAGAGTATACGCGACGCTTCGTTACAACGAGGGAGAGTACCGTATAGTCGGGCCACAGGCAACGGCCTCGAGAAACTCGGCAAAGTGGCAGAGAAAGAGGGGGAGGGCGAAGTAAGCCCAGATAGCGCTCAAACTCCAGTGAGTCGTCGACGTCACTTTGCGATCGCGATCTCGGGATTCGGAGCGCAGTGTCTCGCCAAACTCGATCTTCCATCACCGAACAAAAATCTAATTCACCCTTCCGTCACCCCCACCCGTTTCACCCCATTCACATGTACCTCTTCGTTTAGCTCCGCTTTCCCTCTCCGCCGAAGCACTAGTTCTAACGTAGTTTGCTTTCTTTCGCTCCCTCTCCCCTCGATTAACAATTCAACTGGATCGGTCCTCCTTCCCGCTGTCTGCGCCTTATTCGTGCTCTCGTTTTTACCTTGACACGCGATCCGTGTCCTCCCCTCCCTGCCCAAGATTTATTTCAACGATAGACAGCGGGTACACGTGTACGATAACCCACACCAGAGTTTAAAAAAAAAAAAAAAAAAAAAAAAAGTTCCGACGCTAAGCGCGATACGGAAAACAAATCGGTAGATGTACAGCTCGTCCCCCTTGCATGTTTCTCCACCTTGGACCCAATGGATGACAAATGTATCGAGTTTGGGCTCCCGCGTGAGATTTGTAAAACACCTACATTGCAACAGGTATCATAGGAAACCAGATCACCCGGTCGGGATCGCGATAACTCGATACCCCGGCGCGAGCGAGGCTCATATCGAGCGTAGTTACCCGCGAGACTAATCCATTAGAGGCGCGGATGTATACGCGTACAGCACGATAGGAAGGGGCCAATCAGGGAGTTTGTCCCAGGGAAGTAACCTCGTTTGCAGCCGCTTCGAAGGGGGAAAAACTTGGCGGGCGCCTTGATGCGATCTCAGCGTGCACGGGGGATATAGAGCGGAGCTTGTGCAAAATTAGCGGAGCGCGCGATTCGTATCGCGAGTCCATTGAATCGTGATTTCGAACTGCGCGAGGGCGGGCCTTTTTTTTTCCCCCACGTATCTCGAGGCTGCTTGATAATTGAGTGGCAGGATTTGTCCATCTCCTTTTTTTTTTTTTCCTTCTTCTGTACTGATTGGAAATTCAATATCAGAGCGGAGGAATCCTGCTGTTCTGCGAGTGAAAGGAATAAGCGGCTTACGGGCGCCCGTCGCGATACAGGCGTTCATCGCGTCATTGGTGGGAAAAAGAAAAAGAAAAAAAACAAAGTAGGTAGATTGATATAGCAAATTTTTCGAGCCCACGGGAATTTAGAGCGAGTCGTATATATATGTACGTGTGTTTGCAAAGCTTGGGTGAATACGAGCAGTGAGCCGTGTGTTTCTCTCCGCCGATGACGATAATACACAGCTTCGGGGAACAAAGCTTCGATCGGATTTTCCGGTACGCCGTGTGTACATATCCGTCAACTTTTCCCCCCAAAGCTTTGCCACGGTCGCTCGTTCCTCTGACGCGCTAGAGCTCCCCGCGTTGGGTACGGAAGTCTCGAGCAATACACAGAGACGTTTCCGATCGATGGGCGCTCCGGTACATTTTTTTTCCCCCTTCGAATAATATATAGGGAAACAGTAAGGGAAAAAACAAAAAGACTCGGTGGGCGCTTACCTGGTACGCCGAGTCCTGCGATACGAGGCACTTGCCCTCGGCGATGCGGTCCAGGTAGCCCGGGTCCTTCCAGCCGAGCTGAGGCGCCAAGGATACGCCAAGCGACACGACCCACACCGCAACCACCAGGAACCCTATCCTCCGCGGATTTCGCGCCTGCAAGCAGAGCATAAATATTCATTCAAGGCCTTTGTACTGCAATGCAGTGAAACTTGCAATTTTTCATTTCCTCCTTTTATGGACCGTAGAGCTCAAGATAAACGTAAACGCGTGAGGAAGGGAGATTAGATTTGATTAGATTAATTCTTTATTCAAACCTTGTGGTATAACCACGTATGGTTCTCAAATAATTTACAGATAATTAATAGAATAATAGGATACATAACAATTAATCAACATAATTAATAACAATGGATTAAGAATACAGTGAAGTTGACAAAAGTAATAGTTCGCACAATACATATAATTAGAATCGACACAATAATTAATAAAATTGGTAATAGTAATAATCGTGTAATTTGGCAATAAATAAATTTAACGTTATTGATTAGACTTATTTTAACACTATTGTAAGATTGTATGAATTTGTTTTTATTAAAAATAATTTTAAAATGTTTTTAGAGTCGTGAGATAATGCCTTGTTAAATGGTAAATGACTGCGAATAACAAGGTGTGCATATGCCAGGCAATTTCGATAATTAAAAATTCAGGTGTGTTATCAAACAATGAATCTGACTGAGCAAGCGATTTGACCTGGTAACAATTTCGTAAATAAATTCCGACGCCGCCACCTTTTTTGCCTAGACGATCGTTTCGAAGAAGTCGATATTCAGCTATTTGAATGACTGAATCATCATCAAGATCCGAAAGAAATGTTACTGTGATTGCTAATACATCAAAATCAGAATCGATACACTTGAGTTCAATCTCATTAAAGTGCGTTTTTAAGCGGTTCGCATTAATATGTCCAATTTTTAAAAAGTTGGGGATAGGAATTTGAGTACTATTATTTAATTGGCATCAATTTTTAGAATTATTCATACCATTAACGAGGGCCTTCAATTCATTTTCAGATCGAATTGGGATCAATGCTGAATCTTTTGTTCTACGCATACAAACCGTTAAATTTTTCATTACAGGAAAATAGTAATTAATAGATTTGTGAACCTTAATAGCGTTACGCCATAGATTATAATGTGAGTATTAAACGGAGAGTGTACGTAGTGGGCCGTTTCCAAGGAAATTATTCGCGGATTGCCGTGGCAATGCTTGCGAAACGAATGATAGCTCCCATTTTTCGCGATGCTGCTGGAAAGGATCAGTTTTATCTGTGGGCGTAGTGGATGTACGTACGTGAACTAGGGCTCCTGTGCGAGCACTTGCTGGTCTTACCGCGTGCATATTATCGCTACTTTTTTTTTTTTTTTTTTTTTTTTTTCGTCTCCCCTAGGATCGGTAGGAGCGAGAGTCCAGGGGATAAGTGTGTTTACTCTGGGTCGAGGACACGAGAAGAAAAAAAAGTGCTCGAGTGTAGATATTCGTGCAAGCACCGATGATTGGATACGCGCTTTAGATGTCACCGTGGATGAAACTGACGTGACGTCGAGGGTCGCTCTTTGCATGTTCGCTTGTACGACGGTCCCTCGGTCCTCGTGGCAGGAAAATTTTTCTTTTGCTTTTCTCGTGCTCAGCCAAGCTCTCGAATTCATCGGGCTGAGATTGAACATGAATTTGAGTTTGTGTACAGAGCAAGCTTTGATGTCTCTAGATTATCAAGGCTTTGTTTTTATTTTCCTCCATGCGCAAAGAATCATTCAAGTCTTGTATTTTGAAGGTAGTTTACATGAATTATTTTTGATAAAATACCGGATGCCAATTTTTTATAAAAACAATAACGATTCCGAGAAAATTTTACATTTACTTTGACAAATATTCTTTAACGGAATATGCAATGCCAAATGATAATGGGTCTCATTCTCTCCACGTGCGTACAACTCATTCGTTTATTTTAAAAGTAAAAACACGAAACAAAAATATACTTGCTGAAAAAAAAAAAAATAAATAAACAACTGAGAGAAAAAAACACAGACACTATACATGTCTTGATCAAAGTTTACTCAACGCCAAGGCTCGAGGAGCGACGGGAAAAGGGACTTTTAACGAACTCCTTCGAACTTTTGCAGCCAGTGAAAACTAATTCAGCCGGCTCTTCCCGCGCCCTTTTCTCGCGATAATTCGACACGGCACTACCGAAGAGAAGAAGAGCAGCGTCGAATCGATTAACCCGTTGTGCTGCTCTCCAAAGCCGACACTGCAATTAAAGAGCGCGTCCTTCGGAAAACGGACCGATTCCGCGATCGACACCTTCCCTTTCCTGGGCGCCTCCACCCCTCTCTCTCTCTCTCTCTCTATTGAGCCGATCGAGGTCGACGTAATCATGCCTTTTGCCTGGCATTTCGTTTTTCTTTTCTCACGTAAAAAACTTTGAGCGCAAAAGAGTACGTACTCGCTTGCGGCGAAATTGGACATTTAACAAAAAAAAATCCACTCCTGTCACCTTATCGTAGCTCTGCATTTTGTTTCTTTACTCTCCTCGACTCGTATTTTTCTTGCCCAAATAACCGATCAATTTTCACTTTTGTCCAAAGCTCATGGAAAAGTCATCGATTGCATCAATGTCGAATCAAAAAAATTATACAGCAATTATTTTTTAGCATCATCAACAACACTAACTTTTAAATGACCAACTAATGAACAAATCAAGAATAAAATTTCTAATTTTTTTCATTATATTTCCCAAGACTTTTTCTTTACTGCAGCAACATAACAAAGCATATTTGTAACCTGTTACTACATTCCTTAAAATAAATATTTTTATGTAACATTCAATTCAATTAAGTTACGAGCAGTCAAAATTACAGTCTCGGAAGGGCGGAGGGACGCGCTCCAAGGGCTTCGAGTTAATTAAACCTCGAGTTACATTTTTCGACCGTCGCCGGTGGAGGTTCCCCTGGTAATTTAATTTAAAATTTTGAATGTAAATTGCTCCCGGTGGGTATTACGCCGACTCTGGCAACGGAAAATTCAATTTATCGCGCGAATTTCAGTTGTTACTTGAAAAATAAATTGGTTTCCCGGCGATTCTTTCACAATGTACATAGTTACAACTGTCGCGAAATGAATGCATTTCCCCCACTCCCCTTCGATTTGAACTCGATAGGCATAGGGGAGGGAAACATAATTTCACAGCACCCCGATTTTTTTATTCATTCGGCTATTGTTTGTTTATCCAATAAATAGCCGTTTAAAGCATCCCACGCCCGGTTGTTGACCCGAAACAAACAAGTCCCGGGCGCCTCGTGTCCATTTTCTTTATCTTTTTTTATTTTTTCCTCTACTTTTTGTACAGCAGGTGTACAAGGTGGGCGCGCACGAGCCCGGAAAATGCAAACAAATGCGCTCCGTTCGCGTGTATACATACGTCGGCGAAAAAAGCGATCGTCAATAAAAGAAACAAAACAAAAAGAAGAAAAAGTTATGTCCCCTTGTTAAGCTATAGCTTCGGAAAGGACGTATATATAGTGCGCGTTCGAGGAAAGCCGGCCCCCTACGCTCTTATTTTCCCGGGGCGTCCAGACGCGGAGGTCCCCCGAGAAATGGACGTATTACATTATGAGCGATACCCTCTTTCGCTTAGACTCCGGCCTCGGCGTAAGGATCTCGTATACGTTTGTATTTTTTTCCTCTTTTCTTTCGTTCGGTCTCGCTCTGTGTATGGGTACGTCTAATCTTATTTCGTGATTTCTAGATGTATGTGTTCCCCGTGTCCAATTGTACACTATATACAGAGGAGAGGAAAGGAAAACAACTGAGGAGAGGAGATACACGTCGCCGCGCATTTATTCCATCTAGCCGTACTATTGGATTGTACGTGATGTGTAGTTAATTGTACTTCCATAATCGATAATTCGTGGCGAGAAGTTTCCCTGCCAAAGCACATAAAATCTACGTGTGGGAGAAATGGAAGGAACGAGTGACCGACGGAAAACAAAGCCCGTATGGCATACACACTGTGAAAAATAATTATTATTCAATCGAGTAGGCGAATAATTTGTGTTGACAGGGAAGGAATGAAAAAAAAAAAAAAAAAAAAATGTACACGTAGAGTATCACTAGGGACGAGGGCATCACCTGTATGTAATTGATGTCCGTGACAGCCCAGTATCTGTCGACCGCGATGGCCACTAGGTGCAGTATCGAGGCCGTGCAGCAGAGTACGTCGAAGAAGGTCCACAGATCGCACAACATCGGCCCCAGCGTCCAACCGGACCTTATCTGCAACAGAGTTACGCACGTGTGTTGGTACATGTGTAAGCGAGTGACGAGTAAAGTTCAAACTTTGTTATTGTCTGGTCGCAAGCTTTTTCATATAAATATACATGTGTATGGTAGTATGTCCTAGATACAATGCCCGTAAAATACATTCAACAGTTTGTACCGCGTGTATGTATAGCTTTCGCATGTGTGTCATTGGTTTCGTCATCGGTCCGCCGGATTTGCGGAGAGGTTTTCCTATCACGGATTACGCTGCAAAGCTCCATAATAGTCGACATGACCGACAGGCGTTGGCAAATTGACTTTTTCCAATTAGAAAAATCGGAGCCACCCGAACGCGGTGATTCTTGGCGCTACGGCGAAGGGCGTTTAATTTCGAGCAATTAAAATCACGCCGCGGAAAAATTTATCTCGCGCGTCGTTCCGAAGTGATTAATTTCTCCAACTTTGTTTGTTTCGTACGTTCAGAAGAGGGGGTGCCGATCAATCAGCTTGTATGAAAAAAAAAAAAAAAAAAAAAAAAAAAAAAAAAAAAACTAGAGACTCGATTTGTGCAATAAACTAATTTATTGCCCCCATGGCACGATCGTTGTACTGCATAGAACTTGTGAGTGTCTAACATAGTTTATAATTTTACACAAATAACGATCCTGTTGGAGAGAAAAAAGCTCGTTACGTGAAACGATTGAACAGATTTTGTTGCCAAAGTTTAGTAAAGCTATCCAACTCTACGTTTGCTCACATTTTATCGTAAAATTTATGCACTTCCGAATGGTGGCACATTTTTCAACTAGACAAGCTACTTTTCTTCATATACTTGGACGTAATTTTTTCACGCTATTTTCCACGTTATCTTTTTTTTTTGTACCATTGTAAAAACGTTGTTCTCTTCACGTTGCGTGAAAGTGTTAACGATCCCTCCGTTAAAACCCAAGTAGCACCTCTTTCAACTTGAAAAAAAAAAGGAAAAAAAAAGTCAACCCCATACTTTACCCTTTTCCGAGGGGCCATTTTCAGCTCCAATCCCGTATCCCTGAACGAATAAACAACCGAGAGGAGATCGAAAGGAAAATCCAGCGCCAAGTCAGCGCTGCACCGAGCACCCGTAAATACCATCAACCACTTTCCACCACCATCCCTAAGCGCCACGGAGCACCTGCAACTACATATACTTGCACACCTCACGAATCTACGGCATTATTAATACGAGCTTCAGCAGCACATCCCCCGACATATATTACATCTACTCGTAGGAGTATAGGTGGGTAGAGTTATACCACCCCGCTGACTATCGATATCCACTTGGGGGTCCCTCCCTCCCAAACCTGGAAGCCGTCCAATAAGTTTTCTCGAGCGCCCTGAATAAGAGCACGTGGTTAACCAACACTCGAGAGCCCTGTAATAATAATCCCCGACTAATGTCTCCTCCCCTGTATAACATACTGCGGAAGAGCACCCCAAAGCCATCGTCTTACCTGTCCCGCGCATAACTCGGCCGGGCGTGTCTTTAGCAGCCATCGAGTACGCGATGTACTTGCAAGTACCCCCCCCCCTAACCGAGGCCGCGGGTATTGATAGTAGTTGAAAGAGTGATTTTTCATGGGACTCGGCATCCGCGTGGAATAATGTATGCATGCGAGTGACGTTGACTCCATATCCAACCAAATACACCAAGATGGGGTGGTAAAATATATCGATCGAGCGTGGGTGCGCATGTAACTGTAGTATAGGGGCCGTCAACCATGATGAGCCCGAAATCTGTAATTACATCCACGCGGACACGTGTAAAACTCTGGCGTCGTCGGATAATGATCAGCAAAATCCGGTTGATCTCGTTTTGTTGCGCGAGCAATACGACCCTCGCTGGTGTGCGACTCCACCACCGTAGCACCCCAAAACGCGACATTCGCTACCGCGCAGCGTATATAGTCGGGCATGTTTCGCCGTATCGGGTTTTGCGCGAGCAAGTTCTTGCCGATACTCTGTACGCGTCTCGGGATTTTCACCCCGTCCTACATACGTGTGCTCCCATATTTCCTTTTGGAGCTCGTGGTAATGGTCGTTTCATCCTAATGCCCCGTCGACGCCTATACGTCGGACAAAGTGTATACCTATACACGTTGTGTACAGGAAAGGACCAAATGGTTATTGTGATGGGATTTTCAATGCGGTACTTTTTACTCCTCCTCCCTACGGGCCTTTATGAAAATGGAGAATATTCGTGCTTATACGTACGTAACTATACCCTCCGCGCCCAGAAAAGTCGCTCATCTCTTGATAGCCAGCGGCAATCCAATCTATCGGATCAGCGGGACTTTCTCCACTCCCGGGGCCATTTGGCGCACTAATGTTGACGGTGTCGCGCCTCCGCTAAACCATGGCACCTGAATTCTCGTTTTACGTGACTTTTTTTGCCAAACGGGTCTTTTATCCCCATTCACGCGAGACGATGATGATGATTACGCTATCGTCATCTTGGGGCTGTCATCAAGTGTTTGGGCCAATAGCTCGTCTCTTTTTTCCTTCTTCATTTTGTTTTACCATTTCATTTGGGATACAATTGTCGTCCATTGTATCTGTCACCCCCTAAAGCTCCCACCGATCCTTTGTCGATACCAATGGCCGAGTATTGTCAATGGGAGAATATTTATCAGAATGTGTGACTCATGAGTCGGATACCGAAGGAATACGTGGAGTACCATCGACCATGAAAAATGCATTTTCCCCTGTATGTACAATGCGATCGAGGTGTCTCCATCCAAGAGCAGTCGAGCAACCACACCGCGCCTCAATAATTCATCGAACAATTCACGGAGCCTACGTGCAGTCACCTTGGACCTCTCGCTTACACGCGTCGTCGGCCAACTTTGCACTTGGATGAAAAGGCCTGCACCGGTCTAGTGATGGCATCTGTATACAACGCAATATGGAAGCGGTACAGGAGATTTGCGGTGTTACTATGCCCTGCGCGATCATCGAGATAACAAAAACAAATGTGAGGGACGACTCGGCGTGTCAAAATTAATACACGTTTCGGGTGGCCAACTCGCAATATCGTCGATGACCTCCGGATAAAGCTGCGGTCAGCGCCGTCAAATAGTCGAGTAAATAACAAGGAGAGGTGGAAAGGAAGAAAGAAAAAAAAAAGTCTTCTCCAAACCCTCTTCCACAGGCAGCATGTGATAATATAATACTTGTAGAGTCTCCCCGGGGAGAAGCGCGTGCAAGGTAACGACATATTGTCCGCTCGTGCGATGATTCCGTGCGATCGCTCGTCACAGTCCCCCGTGCGTATATACATAATATGTGTGTGTATTTATACACAGCCATGCAAGGATTGGATCCGTCACGAGTACAAACGAGGAACAGTATAGTGATAGAGAGACACCCACGTGTACCTCTATACGCGCTCTCTGTGCGCGTTTCACGGATATACAGGTACCCCGTTCGCTCGTGTACCTATACCTTGGCTGAGTCGGGGGATGCCGCTTGCAGATTAATTTAGGCCTTTTTCACGTCTCGCTCGAGCCGAAATTCTTATATGTGTGGGTGTTTGTGTTGGCTTCGAGTGGAATGCCCCAAAGGATCGGCGCTTTTGACGCTCCGCTTGTTTCGCCGGTATTTATATACATTAATGGACGAATTTAGAAAAAAACGTCCCCCCCCCCCTCAGCCCCTATTTTTCAATATTATTATTGTTGTTTTTTTTTGTTTTCGTTGGCAGTGAAACGAGAGGAGCCATGAACCGTGTGGGCCTGCAATTGGATAATCTTCATCAACCGGGGGGGTTGACGCGTTTATCATCACCCGAGAGAAAAACAAAGCCAAGCGACCCTGACAAATCGATTATACGAACACATACACACACGCGCGCACCTTTAAAAACAGGCGGGGCGATTTCAAATTCAATTTGCCCCCGCGGCTATCCGGGAGGGAATTTAAATATTTATGAAAATTTAAGAACTGCGGGCGGTACGGTGAGCAGAGGAGGAGGAGAAGGGGTTTATCTCCCCGAGGGACGGTGCAGGGGCGAACGGAGGCCACGCTGCTAATTTTCGCGACCCCGTACGTGCACTGGCGGCGGGGTCAATTGAAAACTCTGAATTTTGTACACCAAAGGAACGAGGGACTCTTTCCTGGGAGGCTGTTGTTGTCAGGGGGTTGATACCAGCTGGGCACTGCGAATCGCCAGATGAAACACTCGAGTTTTCTTTTTTTTAGAACTAGCCCAATGGACTTTGAAAAGAAAATCTAAATAATTCACACGTTCCGGAGTAAAAGCTTGTGCTCCTAAAAATCTAGTGTGCCCCAAGGAGATCTGTACTGATACCGGGAAAAACTGTGCTTCCGGCTGTGGGGGTAAAAATGGCTCGGTGGATTTGAAAAAAGTCGAGCCACCAATTACACGCCCTTTAGCTTCATAACTCAGCATATAGTTGTGAGAGGTATATGTACATACCAAACGCACGAGTCCAAGTCACGAAGACGTCGTACATATACACGAGAAGAGATAGAGAGAAAAAGAAAAATTGCACGCACGTACGTAATATCGTGCGCGTACGTAGGGCTGTAAAATATATGTAAGCGATTCCAGGTCCGAGCCGGAACTAACGTGACTCGATACGGGGAAACGAGCCCATATAAAAAGTGGACGTCCGGATAAAACGAAGCGCCCCCCCACCCTTGGACAGGGACAAAAGAGCGACTAATGTACAAAACGGGCCATGAATGTCGTGGGGCACGTATAGGAGGAGGGAAGCAGCCGCGACAAAGAGACACGTGATGCTCTCATCCACTTGACTCGACGGAGCAGAAGAAGCGCGTTCCGAGGCGTACGCGATTCGAGGGGGAAAAAGTGACCACCAAAGAGGCTGTAAAGTAAAGCAGATGCGCCGAGGAGAGTTTGCAAAGTGGCTCCTTCGAGCCAGAGGGAGAATATATATACCGGAGGGTCGGCGGGGGAGAAGAGGAGGAACCAGTCCAATCCATGAATGGACTTT